CGTGAGAGGGCAGAATGTAGTTATGCATACGTAGACTACAGTAGATAGTCAAGTTTGGCTGCAATGCCAAATATACGAAGGGGACTAGTATTAAGTAGAGTTGAAAAAAGTAAGTTGGAGTTAGATTGCAGGTGGGAGAGAGAAGCACTTAAATGCCTTGTTAAGAAATTATGAATTTTATTTAGTGTGAAGTAGGGAGCCATTAAGGTTTCTGTGTAGCATAATAAATGGTGTGATCAAACTTGTGCCTTGTATGTGTGTATATATGCATATATGTGTGTATATGTATATGTATGTGTATGTATATATGTACATGTGTATATATTTAAATACATATATTTATATGTGTACACACACACACACTAAGGCTATATATCTCCAGGAGTCTTTAGAACATCTCCACCTCAAAGTCCGCCAACACCTAAAAAATCAACATGTCCAAAACCTAACTTTCCTCTTAAACCTGTTCCCCTTGTGAGTTCACCATGTTTGCTGCCACTATTTACCCTGTCTTCTGTATTAGAAATCTTGGTGCTATCTTTGTCTCTTCACTCCTACTCTCATCTCATATACAGTTACCATCTGTTTATTCCACCTACATAACATTTTTCACTCATTCCTTTCCCTCTGTTTCTACTGTTATCACTTCAAAATAGGCCTTTCTTATCACCCATCTGTACTCTTGACAGGTCTTCTCATTTCTACTCCGTCCTCCATACCATCCTTCACACTACTGCCACAATACATATTATTATATATAGGTTATTTCCATTAAATTCCTACTGCAGCTCTTTGTAGCATAGAAGTGAACCTTGGATTCCCGTAGATTATGCCAATAGTTTACAAACTGGTAGCTTCTACATTTCCTCAAACTAGAAGGGATTTATTTATGTGTGGGCCTTGGAAAAGACTTCATGTCTGTTATTCAAGAAACCAGACTTGATAAGTTTGGAAAACCTTCTCTATAGGTTGGCCACAACATAACAGTTTCTTAACACAGTAACTCTCCAAGACAGTTATAGAAAGTTTGTGATCTGTATCTCTCAGAGAGTGCTAACACTCACAAAGTCAGAGATTCTTGAAGTAATGAAGTATACATAGATCAAGCCATGTCACTTATCTGCTCTTTACCAAGTAAAGTTTAGGTTCCTTTGTTTGGAATTCAAAGCCTTCTACAAACTGGCACCTTCATACTTTTCCAGCCTTACTTCGTGTTATATACCTTTCTGTACTTTCTGCTCCAGAGAAAATGGACTACTTTTTGCATCTCCCCCTGCCTTCCCATTCTCAACTTGCCCTACACTTTGTTACTTCTATGATTTTTCTACTGCTGTTCCCAGAAGTGTTCATAAGATTATAGACTTAAATTTAGAAGAGACTTGAGAAGTCACTTGGTCTAGCTCCTTCATTTTACAGATGAAAAAAAAAATCTGTCCCTCTCATCTCTTCTAAAACCTTCAAAACCACCTTCACAAACCCTTTTCCTTCTTCAGCTCAAGTTCTTTACCTGTTCCTTTCTCCCTAACTTTATACTTTATTTTCTAGGCAGTCGGGAGATATTTTTGAAATAGCCATAGTTGTGTTCTAGGAAGATGACTGTCAGCTATGTGAAGGGACAGGTTGTCCAGAAAAGAGACTAAAGGAAAGAAAACTATTAAGAGAGTAATGAATGTAGTTAAGAGAGAGAGGTGATATGGGTCAGAACTAAGGTGGAAGCACTGTGAGTAAAGAAGGGTGAAATTTTATAATATTGTAGATTTAGATTCAACAGGGTTTAATTTCTGATTGGATATGTGGGGTGAAGGTGAGGGAAGAGTTAAATGGGGCTGAGGTTTTAAACTTAGGTGACTGGGAGCCTAGGGGCATTTTTAAAAAGGGTGAAATTGAAAGAAGGGGCAAGTTTTAGGGGGAAAAGAGGGTGAGAAATTATACTTTTGGACATTTTAAGTTCCAGAGACCAGCAAGAGAGACTCTATTTTCCCCCCCCCCCCCCTTTTTTTTTTTTTTTGAAAATCATAATAAGGTTTGTCTTTCTCAAGCTCTGTGGTGCTTCTCCTGTTCTCTGCTGTTTTTCAAATATCACTAACAGTGGCTTAACAATTACATTCTCTAAGTCTTTCAGTGATAGAATGATAAAATTGCTTCAAAAAGGTAGCTCATTTGGGCCAGATGACCAGAATTTATCAAAGGCAAACTAGGTGTTTGTGTACTAACTTATTTTTTTTGGCCATTTTTGCCCTGCCCTTTGCTATTAATGAAGTTCTTTCTTCTTGAGAGATTGGGAGGGGAAGCAAAATTAGAATTAAACATCTCTACCTTTTCTTTATTGTCAGTTATCCCACCCACCCCAAGCAACTTTCCCATCCCTTTGATCTTCTTTTTTCCCTCAATATCATTTTTTGAAAAATCGCTCTTTTTGTTGTTCTTGACTTTTCTCATCCACCTAACTTCATTTTGAGCTTGACACTATTCTTTTTTTTTTTGACACTATTCTTGCAAAACCATGCCATGCTCTTCTATTTTTCTTCTTTACTGGAATTTTTTCCCTCTTTGTCTAAAGAATTTCATTCTTGAGAGTTTTCCTCCTAAACTGACTTCCCCTGTAGAATTTAGTCCATGGGATTCTATGCATTCTTCCTCTGAAAGCTTTGAAACCTCTGCTCCCAAAAAATAAGGTGAATGTCAAGTTTTGCCCAAATTTCCTCTTCTTGTCTATCAGAATTCTAGGAGACAATGGTCGGATCCTCCCTGCCAATGATTATCAGATACAAATTAGAATTCCCCAAATTTATTCTTCTACCTTTTGAAGGATAAAATTGTCATGGACAAATCAAGCAGTTATTAGGTGCTCTGTTTTTGGCACACAGAGATAATTCCAGCAGCTTGTCTGGACGGTTGAATTCTCCCATCACTGTTGTGCTACTCTTTGCCAGGCTTGTGATCTGTTCCTAATTTGTTTCTCCTTTCTGTCCAAGTAGTCTGTAGTACACTCACATAAAAAAATCAGTTTTGTTTCTTCCTCCATTGACCTGTGCTCAAATGTGCTCCACCATTCTTTCCCTCTCTGCTTTATAATACAAGCATAGAGTATGTGTGTCAAGGGAAGTAATGTATAAGAAGACTGGAAAAGTAGAAAAGGGCCAAGTTGTGAAGATATTTAAATGTCAAACAGAGAGAAGTACATTTGATCCTCAGGGTAACAGGAAAACATTGTAATTTATTGAATAGGTGTAGTATCATAGACCAATGCAGACCTAGGAAAATTACTTTTAACAGGTGTGTGGCAAATGGGTTGGAGTGGAAAGAGATATCAGGCAAGGAGTTCAGTTAGAATACTATTATAATAGATCAAGCTAGAGGTACTAATGAACTGGGGTAGTGGCTGTGTGAGTGAAAAGAAGGAAGACATAGTCTAAAGATACCAAAGAGAATGAAATTATAAGACTTGGCAACTGATTATATGTACAGAATGAGCGAGAGAGAGAAGGTAAGGGTGAAACCAAGATTGGGAACCTGGATGACTGAAAAGGTTGTCCTCAACAGCAATAGGTAAGTTCAGAAGAGGGGGAGGTTTTGAGGAAAATATAAAAAATACATGTTAAGGTTGAGGTACTTAGGGGACATCAAGTTCAAACTACCCAAAAGCAGTTGTTGATGCAGCACTGGGGCTCAGAAGAGAGGCTAAGGCTGGATAATAGATCTGAGAATTATCTGCCTGAGATGATAACTGAACCCATGGAATCTGATGAGGTCAGCAAGTGAAAGATTGTAGAAAGAGAAGATAAGGAGGCCCATAACAAATCCACAGTTAGTAGAAATGATATGGATAAAGATTTAGCAAAGAAGGCTAAGAAGGAGCAGTCAGACAGATAGGAAGAAAATTAGGAGAAAGCAATCACAAAATATATTAAACCTAGATAATTCATTGACTGTGGCAAAAATACAAATATTGCATACCCAATACAAACCACTGCAAAATTTTCATCATCTCTGTACTGACTGAGCTCTTCAGCCTTGTTTTTCAAATTGTTTGTGGATGTTTAAAACTAGCCCTGTCATCAGTTTCATCATTTCTTAATTTGACAGCTATAGTCAGATTCTGAAACTTATTTGGCCTACTGCCCCCTTTTCAAAAAAAAAAATTACCTAGTGCTGCCCTGGAAATCTACTTTCCTTAACCCCTTAATGGTTTTTGAAATATGCATCAATTCAAAAAAATATCAAATTTTTTAAGAAATAACTCATATTTAATAATTTATTGTAAATTTGTGGGTTTTTCCTGCATTGAAATTTTGATGACACAGTTTTGTTTTGTTTTGTTTTGGTGAGGCAGTCAGGGTTAAGTGACTTGCCCAAGGTCACCCAGCTAGTAAGTGTTAAGTGTCTGAGGCTGGATTTGAACTCAGGTCCTCCTGACTCCAAGGCTAGAGCTCTATTCACTGTGCCACCTAGCTGCCCCATTGATGACGCAATATTGCATCATGTAACCATATAGTATCATATTGTAAACAAGTCATTACATGCACATATTCCTGCTGATACATGCTAGACTTCTAGCAATGCGTGACATGCTCATCTGCCAACACTTGCTTATTTAAGACCTGTCAGTGGACTTGACCACTGATCAGTTATAACTTGCATTTTGTGTGTTTATTTGGAAAATAATGTAATCACTACAACTTTAACTCTGTTATACAACAGATGAAACATGGTTTTTCAAAACCATTTTGAAAAATGGTTTTTCAAAACCATTTTGAAAAATGGTTTTTCAAAATTTTCTTATCTTCTCTTCTTTCCTTGTGCTTCTACTGCCTGCTTGTTTTTATTCAACACTTCCCAGTTGTACCTGAGGCTTACTACTGTCCCCCCTGGATCATTCCAGAGCCCCTCCAGGAGGCAGTATCACCTACTTTGGGAACCTCTGGCTGTACCCAAAGTCTTTTCCCTTCTCTAATTAACCTCATTTCAATTACCAATTTATTTTACTTAACTTGCCTTACCTTTTCCTACTCATACTCTTCCTGGAATCCTCTGCAGTATTTCTATTCAATCTTTTGCCTTGTTCAGATTGAGCTCTTCTACTTTACGACAAGTTGTTCTTCAGCTTCTTGGATTCTCCCACATTTTTCCTCCATGAATTCAATTTTGGACCATTTTTCCAAGTTCAAAACCCTCCAGGTCACTTTCACAATTTCCTTATTCAACTCGACTCCTGCATTATTTTATGAAACTGGAAGGAAGAAGGAACAGATGAGTGAGAGTGTAGAGAAGTTTTAAGGTATGAAAGAAGGGAGATGAGAGAGATCCCAGCACAAAGTCTTAATCTAAAAAGAAAAAAAGCAGGAGGTAAGATCAACTGGGTCAAATTGGGGTTTGAAACAGTCTTTGGAGAAAGTACAATAGAGATGAATTGTTGTGCATTGGTGTGAAGGTCCAGGTGAAGTTAGATGGCATGATTTTGTAGTGAATTCAGTCATTGTGGTTTTGTGATTTCATTTAATAACTCAGGAATAGAAGCAAAGGAGGTAAGATGAAGGTTATGGCCAAAGAAAGTACTATGAGTATGTAAAAAAGTATAATGCATGGTCCTTACCCTCAAGAAGTTTACAATCAAGTTGGGGAAACAAAACATATAAAATTAAAAATTGAGTATAAGGCAATAGGTACAAAGTTAACTGAAGCATATATTAGTGTATAGACACCAAATGAAAAATTAAAGAAATGCAATACTAAAAGGAACAACTTATGTTCAGCTGGGTCTAACTCTTTGTGACCCCATGGACCATAGTATGCCAGGCTCTTCTATCCTCTACTATCTCTCAAAGTCTGTCTAGGTTCATATTCATTGTTCCCATGACACTTTCTATCCATCTCATTCTCTGCCATCCCCTTTTCCTTTTGCCTTCAATCTTTCCCATTATCAGGGTCTTTTCCAATATGTCCTGTTTTCTCATTATGTGGCCAAACTAGTTAAGCACGCATTTAGTATTTGACCTTCCAGTGAATAGCCTGGATTAATTTCTTTAGGCATTGGCTGATTTCATCTCCTTGTTGTCCAGTGGACTTTCAAAAGTCTTCTCCTGGGGCAGCTAAGTGGCACAGTGGTTAGAGCACCGGCCCTGAAGTCAGGAGGTCCTGACTTCAAATCTAGCCTCAGACCAAACACTTGACACTTACTAACTGTGTGATCCTGGGCAAGTCACTTAACTCCAATTGCCTTAAAAAAAAAAGTCTTCTCCATCACCACAATTTGAAAGCATTGATTTTGCAGTACTCAGTTTTCCTTATAGTCCTACTGTCACAGCCATACATTGCTACTGAAAAAAACAGCTTTAACTATACAGACCTTAGTTGGCAAGGTGATGTCTCTGCTATTTAGTAAGCTGTCCAGATTTGCTGTAGTTTTCCTTCCAAGGAGCAAGTGTCTTTTGATTTCATGGTTGCAGTCACCATCTGTATTGATCTTTGAGCACAAGAATATAAAATCTGACACTGCTTCCATTTCTTCTCCCTCTGTTTGCCAGGAAGTGATGAAGCCAGTTGCCAAGAGTTTAGTTTTTTTTGATGTTAAGCTTCAAGCCAACTTTTACGCTCTCCTCTTTCACCCTCATCAAGAGGCTTCTTAATTCCTCTTCACTTTCTGCCATCAGAGTGGCATATAATCTGCCAATCTGAAATTGTTGATATTTCTCCTGGCAACTGTAATTCTGGTTTTTGATTCATTTAGCCTGACATTTTGCATGTGGCAGTCTGCAGATAAGTTAAATAAATAAGGTGACAATATTTAGTCTTGTCATATACCTTTTCCAGTCTTAAACCAATCAGTTGTTCCATGTTCAGTTCTCCACTCAGAGAGGTTGTTTGGGAGACAAGTAAGATGATCTGGTACTCCCATCTCTTTGAGGAGTTGTCACATTTTGTTGTGATCCACACAAAGGCTTTAGTGTAGTCAATGAAATAGAAGTACATATTTTTTCTGGAATGTCCTTGTTTTCTCCATAATCCAGTGAATATTGGCAATTTGGTCTCTAGTTCCTCTGCCTTTTTAAAAACCAGCCTGCTCTTCTGGAAATTCTTGGTTCACATATTGTTGTAACCTAGCTTACAGAATCTTAAGCATAACCTTGCTGGTGTGTGAAATGGACACAATTGTTCAGTAATTTGAACATTTCTTGGCGTTGCCCTTCTTTAGGATTGAGATGTAAACTCATTTTTTCCAATCCAGTGGCCACTATTGAGTTTTCCAAAAACATAAAGATCATCTGTAAAATAAGAAGATTAGACTTGATGGTCTCTAAGGTACCATCTGACTCTAAATCTATGATCGTATGGTCTAATCCAGTGTCTTCATTTTATAGATGGAGAAACTGAGGCCCAGTAAGGTTAAGCAATTTGCCCAGTGCTACAAAGCTAATTTGCATATAATAAGGATATTGTATATCCCTTTTATAGGGAAAGTATCTGATGTTTATTCTTTTAGCTTCACCTTTTCCCCTAGAGCTGTTTAGAACATTGCAAAGGTGCTTAACTTTTCTTTACCAGCCACAGTACTGGGTCTTGACCACTTTAAGAAAACATTAAAGGAGAAAGTCAGTTTCATAGTACTATAGTAAAATCAACCATTATGGGGGTTTTTGTTTTGTTTGTTTATTTTCAATGCAGTAGTGTAAGAAAAAAAAGCACTTTGCTAAACTAGGTTCAAACTTAAAGGTAACATAAGAATCAGGATCCATAGCTGCCACCGATCTTAATGTGTCACTGCTTACTGGGTAGAGGCCCTTTCTGTATTCATAAATAATTAAACAAAAGGTATTAAAAAAAGGAAAAAAAGGTATGTGTGTGGGTATGTATAATCCATCACTCCCCCTCCCCACTGGCCTGCCATGCCAAAAAGTAAAAGTCCAAGAATTATTCTATCATATAAAGGGATGTTAAGTTTTCAACAAAAATCAAGTGGCATAACTTAGCTATTTAGAATCTACTTCTATACCCAGTGGAATTTAAATATAAGTCATCTCTAGATATATTAGTTAGGAGGGCCACAGTTATATTTGTCGTATTCTTATGAACCTACACAAATTGCAGGACCCACTGCAAGTACCTGTTGGTTGAATTCAGTCACATAGTCTGTGTCTTTGATATAGTTGTCTTATGGTATGCTGCCAGACTTGGTTCTTAGACTTGTCTTGTTCAACATTTTTATCATTAACTTGGATGAAGATGTCAAAATTTACAGGTTATACAAAGCTGATAGTGGTAACTAATACCTTAAAAGACAGAACCAGGATCAGGGAAGAACTCAGTGGGTTGTCACTGTGAATTAAATTTATTAAAATGAAATTTAATAGGATAAATGGAAAGGCCTACATTTAGGTTTTGAAATAAATGAAACACAAGTGCTATAAGTACAGGATGTGAAGGAGCTGATTAAACGGCTCATAGATTTAAAGAAACCAAGGCTTTTTTGTGGAGTGCAAGCTTAACAGTGTGATATGGCAACCAAGATAGTTCTAAGCTACATTAATAGAAGAGGAAACATCCTCGTGTGATGGAAAAGGCACTAGTTTGCAGGCAGTGGGTGTGTGTTCACATCACTAGCCTCTCTGGTTCTCAATTCCCCCATATTTTTAAGTATTGTTATAAGAACAAAAGATTTTTGATAGAAGACCTATTCCAGTGGTTCAACTACGTCTAAGGTACTGTTTTATTCTGGGTATCACATCTTAAGAGGAAATTAGTAAACTAGAGCTTTTCCAGAGATATGTCTGGGAACCAGAAGAATTGAAGAAGTCAGTTTAAGGAAGAGAACTCTGAGAGGTAGATGATCATTGCCTTCATATGTTTGAAGGGCTGATATTTGGAAAAAGATCTAGTTGTGTCTCCAAAGGACCGCATTACATTTGGAGTCAGGAGAGCTGAGTTTGAATCTCTGCTGTAATACACATTACCTGGAAAGGGAATGTGGCATCTTTATGGTTAGAGTGTTGAACTCTGAGTCATGCAGATCTGGGTTTGAATCCTATTTCAGAAGTATATTAGTTGAGACCACGGTCAATTCACTTAATCTCTTTGATGTCAGTTTCTTCTGTAAAATATGGATAATAATGTCTGTTAGTCTATATCACAGGATTGTTGTGGAGGTCAAATGAAATTCTGGACATTATGTTAAAAAGATTAGCAGACCTTAAAAAACGATATAAATGTAAATCGACTATTCTTATTCTTATCAGATGTTCCTTCCCTTTTCTGGGCCACAGTTTCCTACTCTGTAAAATGAGAGGAGTAAATTAAATGAAGCCTAAATCCTTTAGGCCTGTTTGTTATAAGAAATATAATTTTGGATTGATGTCAAAAAGAGTTTTTGCAGAGCTAGTCATAATTGGAATGGGCTAACTCACAGATAATTAGCTTCCAATGCTATTTAATTCGGAATTGTGTGATCACCTATTAGAAACGTTGTTGAAATGATTCTTGCATAGAATGTTAGAGTAAATGACCTCAATGATCCCTTTTAGCTCTAAAATTCTCTGCAGCTACTTTATTACATGAGTTTATATAAAACTGCTTGTAAATCTTAAAGCACTGGCAGGTAAAGGTCAGCTATTATTATTATCTTATGTCATGGGGTAGGGAATCTCTGGTCTTTGGCTTAATTTCATCTGGCCAAGTTAGGTTTTCTGAAATTGCCTTTTAGTACTACTACTCCAGTTAGAATCAACAAATGTATTTGCTTTAAATATCTGATAGAGTTTTATTGGTAAAACCAGATACTGATTTTCACATCCTCCATGGGTAGCTTTCCTATTAGTATTTCATTCTAAGAGAGTAGTCTTATTATCTTGAGAGGGTAACAGACACTAGGACTATTTTTCTTAACATGATTTGTTGATGGATTAAGTCTGAAAAGCACCAGTGGCAGTGGCAAGTGACACTTCTGATCACAGGAGGTCTGGGCTTCAGTAAATGATGGGTTCTAGTGACTGATAAGGGCAGCCAGGTGGTGCAGTGGATAGAGTTTGCCTGGATAGCCAAGTCTTAAGTCAGGAAGACTCATTTTCTTGAGTTCAAATCTGGCCTCAGACACTTACTAGCTGGGTGACCCTGAGCAAGTCATTTAATCCTGTCTGCCTTACTTTCCTCTTCTTTAAAACAAGCTAGAGAAGGAAATAGCAAATCGCTGCAGTATTTCTGCCAAGAAAACCCCAAATAGGGTCACGAAAAGTCAGAACACACACAATGTTAAAGGGATTCTTGCTCACGTATAGATTGAATGAGATGACCTCTGAAGTTCCTTCCAATTCTGATATTCTTTGATATGGGTGAGAGATTTTGACCAGGTATGGAATCTTAGGGAGATACAGGGTTTTGGCTCCTTGGTGCTAGATGGAACCTTATAAGGGCAAAAGCTCTAGAGAAGGAGGAGGTGGGCTGAAATTATTTCTTCTCTACTCTTTTTTTTTTCTTTTTTTTAAGTCCCTATATGTCTTCTCTGGTCTGTTACTGCAATTGCTGTTTCCCCTGCCTCTCCTTTTCCAGTTCTCCTTTCTATGTGTCTCCTTTTCCTTCAGTTGAACTATAATATTATTTTTAGCTTTCTGTAAATTAAATAAAAATTGTTATTGATTTTAAAAGCAGGGTAGTTGTTTTTGTTTTGTTTTGTTTTGTTTTTCACTTGCGTGTCTTTGGCTTTTTTTCTGAGTATATGTACGTTTTATCACAGTCTTTCTTACATACATATGATTCAGTGAATGACTTGAACTAAACACAGATATATGCAAATACTGTGAAAATTACTGAATTACAGATTACCTGCATTATATATAAACTGCAAGTGAATTAAAGGCTACTTTCCCTCAACTTTCTTAATACCATACAGCAAAAGTGACAAACTATTGCCAGGTGGGTGGCCTGGTTTTTTTGTTATTGTGTTTTTGGTTTTTTTTTTACCTTGGGAGCTAAGAGTAATTTTTACATTTTAAAATACAGTTGCCCTATCTCTGCCCTTCAGGATCAGAAGCACATATGCATACATACATATTTACATGCATGCACTAGTATGCGCCTCCAGCATAAAGGTGCTTCATACCTCATTATGTCGGTGAGCTAATGGACTCCAGCCATGTAGATTCTGGTACCCCAGCTGGCAAGTTTATAAGCATCCTGACATTTCTATAAATAAGTCCTTTTAAGTTTAAGGAACACCTCTTTCAATGAAGACGATATGTTCCGATAGCACTCCTAGTGGTCAAACTTGGTTACACAAAGTAGAAATAATATAGGAGACCCAGGAAGATGTTCTAAAGTATAAAAAAGGGTTGTGGAGGGAAACACATTAAGTAATGCCGTTAAGTCTAAGTAAAGTAGCATCACATAGAACAAACCATATTAAGTAATATAAATTTGGAAAATTAATGTTTTTCCTATTATTCTTTGAGTAATATATCTTTAAAAATAGCTTAAAACTACACTAAGACTTTTGGCACATCCTGTATAAAATAGTAGAGACATAGTCTATGTTCTTTTTTACTGAAAGTCTTCTTCCTTTCATTAACTGGTATGAGGGACCAGGGAACAGACAGATATGGCTATGGCTCTTGTGGCTATAGGCTTCTTAGCAATCCCATGAGATCTCCACATCTGGGACTTTAGCCAGGCCATGAAGGTCTGTCAGCACTTGCTAGATAATCCTTTGGCCTCCTGCCTCAGAACTGAAGTTGAAGTGAGCTATTCTGTTGAGACAAGCTGCGGCTCCCTGGTCCTACCGGACTGTCATCTTTCTTTGCCGGTTGGTAGCCCTGTCTGGGACCACTGGTCATAGCTGTGTTCAGGAAAGGGACAGTGAAAAGGCAAAGAAAGACAAGGAAGGGGAGAGGAAATAAAGGATCCAGTGAAGCTGCTAACAAAGAGTCAGAATATACATTCTAGTCCTGGCTTTAACACTGTATCCATGGGGAAACTCGTAACTCATTTAATTTCTGAGCCTCAGTTTCCTTATCTGTCAGATAGAAATAATACCCTCTTACCCAACCTTAGAAGGGTTACTTGAAGAAAGATCAAGATCCTATAGAAAGAGTTCCCTGACTGTTCCCCAAAATCATCTTGACTTAACCTGATGGATGGCAGCATGGCTACCTCTTTATACACCCAAGAGTGGCCTGATTGTATCCAGTTGTTGGGGTTTTCTTTAACTCTTAAGTTCACTATAAATAAAGAGCTTCATTTTCAGATTTTATAGGAATTATAAAATTTTAGAACTGAAATTGACCTTAGAGATTCATTAGTCTGACACACTCATTTGTCAGATGAGGAAATTAAGGAAGATTTCATAGAGACATTATATATAGCTTTTGAGCACTTCCATTGCTAGAAGTAGATGATTCTAATTAAATATATGGCCCTAGAGAACAAGGATTATCTTTTCTTGTATCCATTGTGTTGAATATTTAATAAATGCTTGTTTAATCAAATATTAAGGGGGAAATACTTTTTATGCATATAGAGATCAATAGTTTTCAAAGCAGTTTAACATGTATCCAGATATCTTCAAAGAACCCTCTGAGGTTGGTTCTTTGGGTTTATTCTCATCTAACACAAAAAGAGACTGAGACAATGAGGCTCAATGACTTGCTCAAGATGATAAATCCAGCTAGAACCTAAAACCTCTTTCTTTTGACCTTTTGCCCAGGCCTCTTTCCACCCCATCACCTGTCACCAGCTACTCACTGCATTGACCTGAATGTATTCTCTAGAGGACACAATTTGAGTGTCTTTGCAAGCATGTAGATATCAGAGTTTCACATATTTAGTAGCAACCTAGCTTGTTAACCTACTTAATGGAGAAGATTTGTTTGTGACAAAATCAACTATTAGTCCTGCCTTCCTTCTCTTTTATTCCCCATGGTATTAGGTAAAGGTAGATCCTTAGTACCATAGATTTAGAGCTAAAGGCCATGTTAAAGGTCATGTTTTCCAGCTCCCTGATTTTATAGGTGAGAAAGCTGGGACCTGGAGAAGTTAAATAATTTGTCCAAGCTTTAGAGCTCATGATTCTTTTCCTGGGATCTTTCTCCTAGGCTTCTTTACAAAGCTCTCCACCCTGCTCCCCACTCCCCAAAAAGGAGAGATACTGATCAATTTTGCATTCCAGAATTTGCTACCTGAGGACATTTATTGCAGAGTAATTCCTTAAATATTTTCACTTTGGTCATCACAAGGATGTAGATCTAATTCTATCTTTAGTTGAATTTGGCATTTGTATTTCTGTTAGAAGTAATTTTTCCTTCGTGATATAATCATATTAAATATATAATTCTATAAAATAATCTCTTAAAATGGCCAAATCTCATTATGTATTTTAATAAATTATGGTAAAAGGTGAGCTTTGGGGAAGAATGGAGTAAATATCATTAAGGGTGGGGAAATAGTTTTCTTTTCCAGGGTCACATTCATAAAAAAGAGATATGTCTGAGTAGAGAAATTTGAAACTTCTAATTTTTAAAGAGTCATTAAAATTTATTCAATAATGACTACAAACAGTAAATATATTGTTCATTTTCATATTATAAGCTGTTAAGGAAGATATTTTTGGTGAGAGAAAAGAGAAGCAGAAAGAAGAAAGGGGGAAAAGATTTGAGAAGGGGCAAAGAAAATGAGGAGTGGGAATAGGAAATAAATGAAGAGGAAGAAAATATAGAGAAGGCTGAGATAGAGACAGGTACACCTGTGGGGGACAGAAACACAAACACAGGCAAGGAAAAAAGATGGGGGAGGCACAACATGTAGGAAAGAAATTAAGTTCTAACATGAGTTTTAAGAAAGTAGTTGCTTGAATTCACTGAAAAATAGTATGAACAAGCCAGATTGCCTTTAACTTCTGAATGTAACTTAGCTAAGTACCCAACAGCGCAGTGGAGTAGAAAACATGTCAGATTGGGAGCCAGAAGACCTAGACTGGAATCCTAGCTCCGCTACTTACTATCCATTCAAGCCTGGGCAGTTTGCTTTTTCTCAGTTCCCTCATCTGTACAAAGAAGGGACTGAAGTAGATCAGAGGTATCGGGTGTGCACAAGCATGCCTGTCTTCTG